GCACCCAGACACATCGGTCGTCACGGTTCATTTGCATATATGCAAAAACGCATAAAAACCACTAAAATTTTGCCTTGAAGAAACTTACATTAACGGGTTTTTCGCCGCAGTCAATGATCCCATTTGATGCTAACTAAAGTACTGAGGTGCAGCTACGCATCACCTGAAGAGGATTTTTCCTAGTGCTTCTACCACGTTAAGTACTATGTTGTATTTTGTACGTTTATAAATTTCACACAGGCAACACTTTTTTTTCTTAAGATTGATTGTCTTTAACCAGCGATCTCTACTGGTATACCGCTTATAGAGCAACAGTTCTTGCGAGAATTTCCTGCGGAAGAAAGTGGGACAACTGTGATGCACTTAACCAATTAAAAATGAAACCAGGTGAAAGTAGAAACAAATGAGGAGGGAACAGTAATCAGAGGTAGGTAAATGTATTCTTGATAATAATGAAAATCGAGGAACGGCAGAATGCGAACAGAGCGAACGCCACTGCTCCTGCTCCTCCGGCTAGCGTCGCTGATGATCGTGCCAGGGAAAACGAAAAAATGAGGTGCAAAAATGAAAGCAGTGGAAAGGGCGATCGGGAGTGATGAAGCAGGAGGAGTGGTGCAGCAAGACGAAGGGTGCCAATTCCTGGCAATTGCTCCAATCACGTTGTATGTCAGGATTCCGATGCTAGTGTACTTTTGCCCGACCGGCAGCGAGTGGACTAAATTGTTTCCGTTTGTGATGCATATCGACATAATAATTGGGTCAGAGAGTGCCGAAATTTTTGAAAGAAAATAGGAATTTAAACCAACAAAAAATTGTAGGCCGGAACAACGGCAAGCTTCTGTAAATGGAGGACAAAATCACCCTCTGCCATCAGATTTTCCGAAATAAATGGTTACTGCGACCTTAAAAAGCACTGATGGCGCGATAACACACTGACCATTGCCAAAACCGTTCATTTCACCTCTGCTGAACGATGCAATGTATTTTGGGTTTGCAAGCCTTTTTTTTTAGAGCCAAAACTGTTGCTTCTTTCGCCAAAATTTTAAATTTTCTGACAATATCTTTGGTCAGTTTGGTTTAATCGGTCTTGTGCTTGATCCAAAACTACTAAGATCATTTCGCATGAAGGCGGTAATTTTTTCAAGGCAGATTCAAACACGCTGCTGTAACACTGGTAAAGATAAATTATTCCAGCGCTGCTGTTTCATCTGTGACCATTTTCAGTCGTCAGAATCAAACATCAGTCTTACAAACTGCTTCAGAAGAGAACGTGTAATAACGAAGTGAAATACTCTGCTGAATCTATGCGTGGGACAAACTAATTTTTATTAATTTTTAAATATTAAGTTCACAAATTAAGTTTTATTGCACAGTAACCAGAATACACATTTTAGGGGCAAAATGAATATTAGTCAGCTTTCGAGTTTTATCGCAACATTGTCAGAATTCAGTATGATTACAGAATCCAGTTATGCTGATGCGCTAAGGCTGATTTGATTGTCAATGCTTTAACAGGCAGACAAATTTGGAAACATCTTTTTCAAAATAGGCCATCTAGTGCAGCTGGCTGAGATGGAGTCAGTATTGCTGATGTCCTTACATATCGGTAGTGCAAGCGATTGTGATGGATGTTTTCAATTTCAGTCGTCATCCTTTTTGTGATCAGTGTAACACCACCAGTGAATAGTGTCTCTCCCCGACGATAGCGAGTTCATTTTTATGCAACAAAGTGTGTTCGCTTCACAGTTTGTTAGCACCTGGCAACCCTTGCACATATAAACATATCTGTCTTAAGTGAAATATTTTTTTGTTGAATTTACTTGTTTAGCGAAAGCGGATTTTTTGGATTTTCGTGCATTGCTGTTTTGTTGCCAGTCGCCCAATATCGCATAGTGTCATCGACAGCATCCACCTCAATCTGCCTCCAAAAGAACGTTGTATTATTCAAGGTAGTGGATGGCTGGCTGTATACAGCAGGTGGTTTGGATGACCTGGCAGGAGCGCGAGCATTGCTGTAGCGTTGAAGGCTGATGCTTAAAGTCCGAAAGAGTTTAATATTCATTGTGCGTTTCCGCATGTATGTTTTTAAATGCAACCAGGCTGGAACGCACCAGGCGAGCCGGTGCGATCATGCGTTTTTGCATCAAACTTTGAGGTACAGGATAAAAGGAAAGAAGGAAAAAAGGAGAAAACCCAGGCTGGGACGCACCAGGCGAGCCGGTGCGATCATGCGTTTTTGCATCAAACTTTGAGGTACTCCATCATTATTTCCCTGTCCTTGCCTCACCCCCCACTCGCTGACTTCTCGCCCCTCCACCTTCCCTGCACCCGCCCTGGATATCCATCTTCTCCAAGCGGCGATATTGTGCTGCATTACACAGCACTATTACAAAGCGGTATTCCGTGAGTACGGTACCGTGAGTCC